TCCTGCCCATCCCTTTGGGGGAACCAGGGGGGTCTGTCTGCTCCGTATCGACAGCATCGCGGTGGATGCTGACCCCTGCTCCTGGCTGGCGGTGAGAGGCTGTAGCACAGCCGAGGGGAAGGCTGGTGGCGGTTGGTCCCCTCCTCCCCTTTTTTTCCACTTTCTCGAACCACCCCGGGCGTGCTGGGTCGGCGTTTGCGTTGAACCGAACGGCGCTAACCACACACGAAGCGCGTGGGCGTTCTCTTGAGCCACATCTGCTTTGATCCTCTCCAAGCCTAAGAAAAAAAAGAAGTTTTGCTATGACAAACGCTCCAAATTCTCTCGCTGACGTTGGGCTCCATCAGCCTCCAAACCCAGGCGCCGGGAGGGCTGCAGGAGACGGGCACCTGGTGCTGGCTTCTCCAGGGATGCCCCAAAAGAGCTGCAAAAGCGAAACCCTGGGCACATGTTGTTCTGAAGCCCCGTGGCAGTTGCTTTCAAGTGTTTGGTGGTGGCTCTGGCTTTCATGTGTGCAGGGTTTTGGGGCAGACATCCTGTGTCTGCTGGGCTGTGCATCCGTGTGGTCGCTTGGCAGCTTTCTCTTCTGTGCAAGATGCATGTCGTACCTTCTTTGTGCTGTCTTTATATTGTGAGAGAAGGGAGGGGGGAAAAAAAAAAAAAGGTGGTGATCTGGAATAACTCGCTTCCATCTCCTTTGGGACCCCGCTTGGGAATTTTATTATTATTTACCCATAGGTTAAGGGATCTCGGGCGCCAGGGCAGCTCCCGAAGCGTTAGCTGGGAGCTGTATCCCTCTGGGATACCTCCGGCAGTCATTCCCAAGGGTGGGGGGGGGGGGGTGGCGGCCCCCCCCCCCCCCCAATGCCATATTCAGGGACCTCTGAATCCTTTCAGAAGTGTCGTTCTGGGTATGGTGCTTTTTATCCGTGGGGTGTTTGCTGGAGCTCTTCAGAATACCAAGATTCCCAGCTAGGCTTTTAAAAACGCCTTGTTTTCTAGATTTCTGAGGGTGTGATGGTGTTGCTCAACTATTCTGTTTTATCCCCAAACAGGGGTGCAAGGATACATTCCAGGAGGAAAAAAAAAAACATTTTTTTTTGCTCCTGTTGGGGAGGAAATGAGTAACACTGTGTAGACGACTCTTTACTAATTAAAGAGAAATTATAATTTTTAACACAGAAAAAGGTTTCCTTTTCAGAGCTTCTGCAGGAACACTGCTCCCACCCAGGGACCTGTTCTGAAGCCAGAGGTCCCTGTGGCTGATTTACCTGGGCTTGGGGAGCGGTGCCACCACCATCGCTTACCTTGGTCCCCGCGGGATGGGGAAGGGTCCCTTTGCATTACTCCGTGTTGGGGACTGCACACAAGTCTCTCCATTTTCTCTCTGTTTATTTTAATAAATCTCTTTGTGTTGTTTGGTTCCTGAAAGGCACTCGCGGGTGGCTTTTTAATTTCAGTTTGATTTTCAGATGGATTGAACGACGGCAGGGAAATGCATTTCTCAGCCGGAAAGCAGCATTGCCCGAAGTAGGTAGCGTGTATTTACTCGTCGCACTAGAGATGAAAAGTTGTTAGATCCCCACTCTTATTTAAAGCAATTCTTTAGGGGTGACTCAGTTCTGCAAAAAGCACTAACGATTCCGCGGTTGCCTGAAGGACCGACGGCACAATAACGCTTGTCATTCGCTGACATCGAAACAACGGTGTGATATTAATAATGCCTCTTTTTTTTTTTTTTTCACCTAGGTTGGGCACCTCTTTTTATTTGCTTTCCTTAGAATCTTTCAAATCTTCCTAAAAAAAAAAAAATTATGAGTCCAGAAGGTCCGATGCGAAGCCCAGGGTCCATCTGCAAGTGAGGGGTGGGCATCTAGTTTGGATCCTCTTTTTATTTGTTTTCCTTCTCAGAATCTTGCAGATCTTCCTATAAAAAAAAAAAATTATGAGTCCAGAAGGTCCGATGCGAAGCCCAGGGTCCATCTGCAAGTGAGGGGTGGGCATCTAGTTTGGATCCTCTTTTTATTTGTTTTCCTTCTCAGAATCTTGCAGATCTTCCTATAAAAAAAAAAAAATTATGAGTCCAGAAGGTCCGATGCGAAGCCCAGGGTCCATCTGCAAGTGAGGGGTGGGCATCTAGTTTGGATCCTCTTTTTATTTGTTTTCCTTCTCAGAATCTTGCAGATCTTCCTATAAAAAAAAAAATTATGAGTCCAGAAGGTCCGACGCGAAGCCCAGGGTCCATCTGCAAGAGAGGGGTGCTTGCTGGAGCTTGCAGTCTGTGGGGCTGGGGAAGGCTCTCTGCAGGTTTTTGGTATAGCGAGAGACGTTTTTTCGTTTAGCGAGAGATGCGTGGGATGCTTTCTTCTTGCCTGCTCTGTTGCGGGTTGCTTTTTGCTTACCAACAAATGTACTCCAGTGAAAACCATCATGAAAAACAGCTCCGAAGATGCTCTCTGCACGTACAGCTGACTCCAGGTCAGCAGAAAAACCCCCTGATCAAAGCACCTCAGGCTGTGTCCTGGCCGTGGCAGTTGTGCCATCGCTCCCAGGATGAAGGAGCAGAGATTTAACAAGTGTGGGTGTCTGAACGGGTTCCTGTCCAAGCGGTACAGCCATTCAGGGGAAGGGCACATGGGTTTCTATTTAGTGACACAAAGACGACATCAAAGTGGAGAGCCCCAAAAACTCGTATTTCACTGAGAACAAGATGCTGAGAAGGGACCAAGGCAAACCCAGTTTGTAGCCGTGGTCCCCAGCTAACCACAGAGGGTTCCGGTCCCTTCCCAAGTGCTCATCCTTCCCCTCGGAGGGGATGCTGGACACAAGGTCCTTTTGTTCCTGGTGCCTTCTTCCTTGTAGGAGCCCAGCGCCTCGGATGCTGGCAGATGTACAGCCCCAGCGCCTCTTCCTGACACCGACAACCTGCAAAAAAATTGTCCCTTCTCAGCGTCACACAGGTCTGGCTCCAGCTGAGGGGAGCATCCCTGGGCAATGAGTATTTACGTGGGAGCCTGGAGCGATGGGGGACAACAGGAGGTGTGGGGGTGACACCCCTGCGAGGACACTGCTGTCCCGCTGGCTGGGATGTTCTCAAGACCGGCGTGAGCTCACGGCTATGGGTGCGTGCCTACGAGAGCTCTCACCCCACTGCTCTACCAGCGATGCTTCCTTCATTTTTCTCCTCTTACATTCTGCCTGGCGATGCTGTGCTGGTTTTATTGCCGTTAGGCATCCAGTGGAAACGTTCTGTGTGGCCTTTGGCAGCTCTGGGTCATCCCTGAGCTCCATGAAGCTCCATTCGAGGCATTCGCCCCTACGCCAGCAGCGGTTTTGCCGCGCGGTGAAGGGCTGGCCCCGCAGACGGAGGTTTTTCTGAAGCGGTGTCACCCTTGGGATGTCAGGAGCACAAGGCTTGGAAAGGCTGGGATTCCTGTTTACCATCTGTTTCCATGGCCCTTCCCGAATAGTCTTCTCCTCCTCCAGAATTCAAGGATCTTTAATCTAAACTGTTTGGCTTGCGGCGAGAGGGAGGAAATCCCAAATGGTGGAGGAGATGGTGACATTTCTTGACCTTTCCGATGTGTATTTTGGAGACAAACACGCTCTGATGAGTGTGCGTGTGCTTATGTTTGTAGGTTTAGGCTTTGGGTGTATTTCCTAATGCAGTCCCTGTTGGGGGGGGACTGGGGTGCCAAGTTCGAGGCAAACTGGGAGCCCCAGTAAGAGCTAACTGGGGGGACTGGGGTGCCCAGTTTGAGGCAAACTGGGAGCCCCAGTAAGAGCTAACTGGGGGGACTGGGGTGTCCGGTTAGCCGAGAACTGGGACAACTAGGACCCCCAGTAAGAGGGGAACTGGGACGCCCAGTAAGAGGTAGATGGGGGTAACTGCGATGCTGGGTTACGCATTTCTCTGCATCCATCGAGAGAAATCTGCAAAGCCTTTGGGGGGGACAGCGTGTCAGCTAATCTGATCTCCAGGCAGCTGTATACAAGAAACGAGTTTACTAAATATTTCCAGATATGCTCTTTTTGAGAAGCCGTGTTTCACTTTGCTTGGAAAACGTGAAGCGTTGCAGTTCTGAGTGGTTTGGTTCAGCGTGATGCCGCAGCCCCGTGCAGGAGCAATTCCAGCTCTGGAGGGAGCTTGGAGCGTGCATCCCCGTTCTCTTGCAGTTGGTGCTGGCCAGGAATGCTCAATAAGCTGGTTTTGTTGTCATCCAGTATAAGTTGTGGCTCATCTCCTTTTTTCTCTCGTGAAAAATATAACAGGAGACCCATGCAGCAACATCTGCAGGAGCGTGATCTAAACCTGAGCAACACTTTCAGGACCCAGTGACTCTCGGTTTGGGGTGACTTGGGAGATTACTCAAAAGAGCCTGGCATTTAGAAAGTGGATTTTCAGTGGCTTCTGAAAAATCGAGCCGTAAAACTGGTGCCACATGGGGAATGGTTGCTGTAGTATGCGTGTTTCATAAAGGCTGGGGAAACACCAGTTCTTCTGATGCCATCGAGAAAACCTCATCAAGCCTGATAGCATCAGAAATGAGGTCAGCAGCTGGTTTGATGACACTTCAAATGCAAAGATTACGTTCAAGTAGCACACTAGGTGATGAAACATTTTTCCCCTTTGAGTGAGCAGTGTCTCTTTTTCTACCCCGTCCCTTTCCCCACGCGAAGCAGCCTTTCCTCTGCTGCTGCATCCCTGGCTCTGCCCTGGTCCCATGCCAAAAACCTTTTTTTGCTTTTGCCTGAGCTGAGGGAGAGGAAGACAAAAGTCCTTTGGGAAAGAGACCTCTCTCTGATGGGTGTCTGAGAAGACTTTCTCCATGGTAACATCTGGATGGAGAGCTCTTCGGAGCGAAAGCCGTGCTGGGGGGGTGTGCTGGCAGGTGGGCTCGGGGCTCTGCGCCTGCCTCGGAGGTAGGAGGAAAGTGCCTGCGGGGAGGGCAGTTGGGATGGGCTCAGGGTAATTACCGTTTCACGTTTGCACTTTGCAGGTGGTTTCATCCCAACATCAGCGGAATTGAGGCGGAGAAGCTGCTCCTGACCAGGGGGGTCCATGGCAGCTTTCTGGCTCGACCCAGCAAGAGCAACCCCGGGGATTTCACACTCTCTGTCAGGTAAGGGGATGCTCCGGATAGAACTCTCTGAAGGTGAGCTACAGAGAAGAAGCAAAAAGTGGCATTGACCCAGCGAGTGGCTGAGATAAACGGAGCAGGTTGTGGGCTCAAGGCATGAACCTTCCACGAGCATCATCCAGCTGGTGCCTTGCGGGGAAATGGCTCAGCAAAGGTTTCTCCAGGCACCCGTAACACAGTCCTCTTTTTTTTTTTTTTTGGTGGTGGCTTCTCTTGAATTTAAACAACCCTCATTTTGTTTAGGAAACTCCAATGAGTTTATAAATCAATGCTGTGTTTAGAGAAACTCTGTGCAAAGGGACAGAGCGTTTCCAGCAGGCAGGATGCTGGTGTCCAATGGGATGTGGGCAGCACCTGCACGGTCCGAGCTGTGGTCCCGCCCCAGGCCCCTCTCCCCCTGCCCAGTCGGGTCCTGCCGGAGCTGCTGCAGGGCAGAGCAGCGTGGCAATGCCGATGGGCTCTGCAGAGACTCTCCCCTCTCCTTGTTGCTTTAATTTTTCAGGTGAAACCCTTCTCCACCTTATTTCTTCCCCCCTTGCAATCATCCCCAGAACTGAACCTGCGCTCCTCTCTGCCAAGTCCTTAGCTTGGCAAGAGGGAGGGTTTGCATCTGCTTTATTTTTTAAATGCTTCCTTTTGTGTTGGGAAACACATCCCAGCGGTCCTGCCCTTTGCCTCTCGGGCGGCTCTGACCCACCGCAGCATCTCACGCTACGGAGCATCACAGCGGAAGGGAAAAGTCCGACTTATCCTGTGTGCTGGCTGGGTGGGGAGGGTTTGGATCTGCCTTCGCTGGCTCCCCGGTTATCTTGCAATCAGAAGCGGCTGGGAGTTAATGAGAGAGGCAGGAAGTGCCGCTAATTAGAATGGAAAATAAACGGTCGCAGAGAGCTGTGACAGCGAGGGGATACATGTAACACGGGAGGTTATCTTCCTGTGAGCTTGGTGTCTCTTCTCCCCTAATTTGGTGAGTCAGGGTGCTGTGTGATGGCGAAGCGGAGCACTGACAGCGCTGCTCAGCCAGGCAGGGTGTGAGCAGACACAGGCTATGGCTGTGCAACTGTGCTGATGTGAAGAGATACCCAGCTATGGCGTAACGACCCGGGAACAGCAGGGCAGACGGCTTTGCCGGGAGAGCCAGCTCCCACACCTGCATCACTGCGCTCCTGGAGCCAGCCCACAGGTTTGCATCGTTTTCCTCCCTTAGCTCTGTCCCCGTGCCTCCGCCAAAGGCCACGTGCGGTTCTGCTGCCGTGGCTTGGTGCCTTCCAGCTGTGCTGGTCCGCTGCCTCCCCTCTTCCAGCTGTGGCACGTAATTGAACAGGTAAAAACTTAGCCTCCATGGAACAGCTATGGATGCCTGTGGGGTCCCAGAGCATTTTTATTATTTCTGTTACCTCTTTACCTCTCTCTCCTCTTTTCTGGAGAGGGGTCAGATCATCAGAGAGGGTTTGGACCCCTTCCTACTGCAGGGAGACCTTGTGTCGCATTCTGTCGTTAATTACCAGTATTGTTCTGGCCATCAGATTGAGCCAATTAACGCTGTTAATGCATGAACGGTGCCCTGCAGGGATGAGGCGAGTCAAAGGCAGAGCGCTGCAGCGTGCCTCCCTATCACAGCACCGAGCGATACCACCCCAGCCCACGGACAGGCTGCAACGCGGTGGAAAGTCTGACCAGCTCGCACGGTTCTGAGTAAGCCAAAGCTGTGACACACACCCCATGTTTCCAGGAAAGCACATTAAACATCACACGCAGGCTTAGAGGCCATGTGTTGGGCTTGGAGGCATCACGAACTGAAGACAAGGAAAAAATTCTTTCCTTGACTTCTCTTACCTGCAAATCCTTGCTCCTTCCTGGCTCATCCCATCTTTATTCCATGAGTTGAGGCAAGGGTTCTCCTATAGTCTTGGATGTGGAAAATTCACTTGGCCATGGTCACGGATTAGGTAGATGAGTTTTTGTTTGTATTTCCTCAGTGATATTCTCTTTTCCCACTGATGATGGCCCCAAAACACGTGCATAAATGTTCTTGGGGATTAGAGCTGCAACACCAGTACAGAATGAGGAGCTTCGTGTGCTGTGAAAGCTGAAAACCTGGGCAGCTGTCCTCCCACTGGGTTTTCCCCTTTTCCCTGTTACATTACGCACACACAGACAGAACAATGTGTTCCTATTCTCACCTAGAACTGCATCCTGACAGAGATTTTTTTTTTTTTTTAGCCTCTGAACTGGACAGGGATATTTATATTTTTTTTTCCCTTTCTGAGGAATAAAAGGTTTTCAAAGGAAACCTTAGAGTCATCTTTGAAAAAGCACTTAAAAGAGAGGTGTCAGTGGGAGAAAGTACCTTTAGGAAAACAGTCAAAACCTCTTCCTTCTCCTTTCAACCTCCTTTCAGCTATTTCAAGGGTTTTTTGAAAGCCAGCGAGGGGAAAGGCAGCTCCGTTTAATTACAGAGAGGATGTGGGCTGAGAAGATGGAGTGGTGGCTGACCAGACCACACACCAAGTGACCGTGTGCTGGTGCGGATCCAGCTGTGAGCGTCCCCGAAGAGGGGAAAATAGGAAATCATACTGCTGGAGTTATGACAAGGTTTCCATGAAACTCCGTGGGCTGGTGCGAAGGAGAGCAGAATGCACTGGCGGTCGCTGCAGGATGGGTGCAGATTCCCAAAGCTGGAATATTTTGGATCAAGAACCCCTCCTGGATTATCTAGCTAAGTGCTGATAGCATCAAGGAGCTTAGCTGGAAGTGGAGGCAACTCTCACTTGTCTGACTCTGAGGCTGCCAGAAAAGCTGCCATCTGCTCTCCATCAGCGGCTGGATGAGAGCTGGTGTCTGTTCGGAGGCGCCGTGCCCGCGGGCGCAGGGCTGCTGAGGACTCTGAGCATCTCCTTTGTGCTTTATTTATTCCCCCAGCCGGCGTGTCGAGGGTACGGTTTAACGGATCCTGCTACTGTGCAGCCGCCCAGTTGGGAGCTGCAGAGGTGATGCAAGCTTTAAGGGAAGGAGACGGGGAGCGATCAATGCCCTTTATGTTGAGCATGACCTCGAGGGCTCCTGGGATGAAGGCCCCCGATTATCTCTCTGCTTTTCATCCCTGGAGTACTCAGAGGCGCTGGGGGTGGGGGAGCGGGTCTGTGAACTGAGCCTTTGTGGGGCTGGGACATGGGGATGGAGATGGGGGAAAAAGGGAGCTTTTGAGCCCCGGGCGGAGTGGCAAAAACGCCGTTTCGTCCGCTGCCTTCTGCTCTGCACAAAGGCTCTCGGTGTCCAGCCGCTGGCGCGAATGGTCCAAGCGCTTCATGTGCCTGCTTGTCCCCGAGAAGAGGCATTGTCACTGGAGTGCTGGCCGGGATCTGAAGGTCACAGCCAGTTTGTATTCCATCTAGTGAGTTCTCATCCCTCAGATTGCCCAATCGCGAAGCCTCAGCCCATGGGACGGCTGGCGTTGGCGGGGCAGTCGGCTGTACAGAGGTACCAGAATTGCTGGCAACCCCCAGGAGTGCCGCTCATCGGTTACACCGTTGGGTTCTGTCTCCCAGACCTTGCTGGCAAGGTGTGCTGTGGCTGTGCAGGACCCACACGCAGATTTTCACACCTGTTGGTGTGGGGTGATGGTGATGCTGAGGATGCTGCCTCCCTTCACGCTGGGCTGGTTGTTGCCCCTGAGTTGGCACTCACTGGAATCACCTCGATGCCAGACAAAGCGTCCAAGAAGGGATGTGTGACCACAAACTGGAACTGCTGGTTCTACATCGACAAAGTCCTCGTTGGCAACTGGGATGGGAGGGACTCTTGATCAGGGGGTGTAGCGATAGGACGAGGGGGGAATGGTTTTAAGCTGAAAGAGGGCAGATTTAGATTGGATATTAGGAGGAAGTTTTTTCCTGCAAGGATGGTGAGGCAGTGGCCCAGGGTGCCCAGAGAAGCTGTGGATGCCCCATCCCTGGAGGGGTTCAAGGCCAGGCTGGATGAGGCTTTGGGCAACCTGGGCTTGTGAGAGCCATGGTCCGGCTCTTCCTCCCGTTTAACCTCATGCACAGACCACCGAAGCTTTTCTGATTCCCCACGCCATGAGATGGTTTATCTGTCTGCCGTGGTGCGCTGCTTATAGCACCTCGAGTCTCCTGCATCTCACTGTTGCTTTGGCAACAAATTGAGAGATGCTGGGAGTCGCTCAGCACGGTGAAGAATGAGAAATTTGCCCGGATTTACGGATCTCTCTCTGACCCAGCTCATCCATCAAGCCCCAGGCTTCCAGCCATGTCTCCCTTAGCTGCTGCTAAGTGTGTTTAAAACGCAATTAACCTGCCCCTGAGGTTAGCGTGGCCGTCTGGGGACGGAGACTGGGCTGTGCTGGGTCGAGGAGGCTCTTGGAACAGGCTGATGGAGGTACCCAGCGGTATTCCCTTGAGCCTGGAGGGCACCACTGCAGAGGGGAAGGCATTAACCCTTTCAGTGCAGTTTGCAAATATCAGGGAATATATTGGTTTGGGTGCTTTCTTCCTGGTTTGTTTTTTTTTTTAAACTAATTAGCTGATAGTGAGTACCCCTGTGCATAGAAAACTGTTCCCTGCAAACCAGCGGGAGGTCAGAGCTTCATCCAGCTGAGAGGGTCAGCAGGGCAGGAGGAGGAAGGGATGGCAGAGGAGGGATTATTTATCTCCACTGTGCGAGGTTGCCTGGGAAGCAGAGCGAGCTGGGAGCTTGCGAGGTACAGAGGCAGTTCTTGGCCAAGGAGCATCCATCCCTTCCCCTACGGTAGAAGCACGGCCAGTGGCACGAGCAGCATCCGAGCGAACAGAGAGCGTGTGGTGCGGCTTAAAGACGTGGGTGGTGGGGGGATGCCTTCGGGAGGCACCTGGACTCTGAAGGTTGGGTTTCCATCTCTCCTGCTGACAGTCTTTGCCTTCCTTCCTCAGGAGAAATGACGAGGTGACGCACATTAAGATCCAGAACACGGGGGATTACTATGACCTCTATGGAGGCGAGAAGTTCGCCACGCTGGCCGAGCTGGTGCAGTACTACACCGAGCAGCAGGGGCTGCTGCGGGAGAAGAACAGCAACGTAATCGAGCTGAAGTACCCCCTCAACTGCCAGGACCCCACCTCGGAGAGGTAAGCCATGCTCTCCAACAGTCTCTCTTGGTGATGCTGACAGTGTCTTCCCAATGGGCTTGGACCCTCCAGCTGCGCCTGGCCGGGGTTTGGGAAGCATCCCGAAACGGAGGGTGTTGGGGTGCGATTTAGCTTTCATGGTCCAAAAGCTGCACATCGCTGGGATGTGGTTCCCCAGCTGCTAGAAGCTGGCAGATGACATCAGCACAGCCCAGCAGCTGATCCTTGCTCAGTGTCAGCATGTGCTGAGAAGCTTTCTGGAGCTTGTAGGCAGCTGGGAACGTGAGCGGTACGAGCTGGTCTGCAGGGGATATTCCGAGTGTGTCCTAGAGGCACGCAGATTTGGTTTTTTTGAAACAAAACACAGGCAAGTGACTTGTCTGTCTGCAGAACACTGGGTAGAAATGCCATGAAAAGCCTCCCTCCATCCCATCTCGATCTGTAACTGCTGTTTATCCCGGTAGCAGCACGCTGCTGGCTCGCAGGGATGGGGACACTCGGGGATGGTGACAGCTGACTCGCAGGGATGGGGATGGCAAGCTTGTGGGGATGAGGATGTGCAGAGATGGGGACGGCTGGCTCGCAGGGAGCGGGACGTGCAGGGATGGGGACATGCAGACTTGTAGGGATGGGGACACACAGGGATGGGGACAGCTGACTCGCAGGGATGAGGATGTGCAGGGATGGGGAGGCACAGGGATGGGGACAGCTGGCTCACAGGGATGGGGACGGCTGGCTTGTAGGGATGAGGATGTGCAGGGATGGCGACACACAGGCTTGCAGGGATGGGGATGCACAGGGATGGGACAGCTGACTCGCAGGGATGGGGACACACAGGGATGGGGATAGCTGGTTTTTGGGGATGAGGATGTGCAGGGATGGGGATGCACAGGGATGAGACAGCTGGCTCACAGGGATGAGGACAGTTGACTCACAGGGATGGGGACACACAGGGATGGGGACAGCTGGCTCATAGGGATGGGGACACACAGGGATGGGGACAGCTGGCTC